CGCGTCTAAACCTTCGACATTGAAGCCGTGTTCTGTGTCCTGGTAGGTCATGTTTGCTGACTCTGCAGGTGTTGTAGCCGGTGGTGGTGCTGTCAGGTACGGTTCTGGTAGTGCTGGTCTGTTTGTTCGCCAGGGTGCAAAGCTCAGTGTTTCTTGCTGGCTGAACCTGCGTCTTCGTTGTTCGAATGTTTCTGGTCCTGCTGTTTCGTACAGTGCAGCTGTTGCTGGATCTAGCTGTGGTACTTGTGCCGTGCTGTTTGGTAGTACTCCTTGAGGTGGTGCCCCGTGTGGCGTGGGTGCTGCCGAGAGTGCTGGTGGTTCTTCGCTTGGTTCGGACAGTGAGATCTCGCTTGGAGGGATCGGAACTGCGGCAGGTGGTGGTGAGGTGTCTGCCGGAGTCGGATCGCCCGATGGTGCCTCTGATGCTGGTGGAGGTGCCGCTGGTTGCCCAGGTTCTCCGTCTGGAGTTGGGCTGTCGGCGGATGCCTCGGGCGGTGCCATGGACAGCCGTGGTCGCTGTCTGGGTGGAGCCATCTCATGATCAGAGTCTGAGTGCAAGTTCTCTGACTCCCCATGTTCATCCTCCTCCACGTCCATGAGATTCCTCCGGTTGAGCTGGTGCAGGTCGTAGTACCTGGTCACGCCCCGAGACTTCAGCTGTCTCACCTTGTTGAGTGCCTCTTGCGTGTCATCAAGAGAGTGTGCCACGGCCTTGATGTCAGGCCTGATGTGATGTGGTGCACATCGGATGAGTTGGCTCTTGAATGCCAGCCAGTATACAGAGACTGGGCTGTTTGCTTCTTGAGGGTTCTTGTACTCCTTCATGACGATGTGCGCCGGTCCGAGCCATCTGACTTTCACCAAATCAGGTTGACGGGCATCTCTCCAGAAGAAGACCTGTTGGCCCAAGTGGAATTCCGTGTTGATGCCCTTATACTTGAGGCTCAGGGCTCGACGCAGCTTGCGGTCTGCATCTGCGTCCAGTAGTGCCTTCTTGGCGGCATGTCTCTTGGTCAAGGTCTCTTCGAAGTCCGGGTGTCCTCCAAGATGAACTGCTTCAAGATGATCGGATAGCAGATCACCGGCCATGCGAGGTTGATGTCCGAGGACCCACTGTGAAGGACTGAACCCTGCCACTGTTGGAGTGGCATTGATCTGGGGCACAATGTAGGTCAGGGCCTCTCTGATTCCACTGACATTGTCAAGCTTGAGGTCATCCATGTAGATCTCCGTGGCTCGACGAATCATGGCGTGACGCCGTTCCACCACTGCAAGTCGTTCGTGGGCCTCACCAGGTGCCACAATGTGCTGGACGGCGTGTGAGGTCGTCCAGTCGTCCATGATGCGCCCGAGCCAAGGGCGTCCCTCATCGGTGATGAGCTTGGTTGGAGGCCCAAAGTGTGCGATCCAAGATCGCTCGAAGGCCTTGATGTACTCTTCAGTCTGCTCCGAACGGAGTAGTGTGGCAGAGGTGTAGCGGGTGGCCATGTCCACAATGCTCATCACTGGAAACTTGGAGCTGCCACGGCGAAGCCAAAAGACATCTGCTTGCACGGTGTCATTGAACGTGGTGGACTGTGGCATCGAAGCCGGTGCTGCTTGAGCTGGCTTCTTGTACTTAGTGCAAGCTAGGCATGTGTATCCACGAGCGGCTTCAAGAATGGTCTCTGATGCACCGCGAGCTGCCAGGAGTTCAGTGAGTGCCTCCTTCGAGGGATGTCCCAAGTTGCGATGAAGCTTCTGCACAGTGCGAATGGCTTCTTGACGAGTGCTTGCCTGAAGTCGGATCAGGGAGCCTGTCACCTCCTTCTCCTCAGTGGTGGCATACACGTTCTCCCACGATTGTGGTGGTTCTGGTAGGCTCAAGGCTGCTGCCAAAGTGGCTGCTAGACCCGGTTGGTAGTCCTCCATATAGCGAGTTCTGACTCCGTATCCGGTCGCTGAGCCCTCGAGGTGACAGTGTTGATGGTCGTGTTGGCACTGCAGGGACATAGCTTCCTGGACGGTCTTCTTCGTGGTGAGCAGACGTGTGTTCTTCAACACTGGCCTCCATTGACCGTCGGTGTCCAGACATTGAGCTCCATAGCGACATTGCGAAAAGTCAGTGATGCGGCCAGGGAGTGAGCGTATGGCCTGGGTCTGCCATGACAAGGCATCCTTGGGCTGTTCGATGGTGGCATGTCGTCCTCCTGAGAGCTGTTTGAGGTAGGATCTCTTGACGAACATGAGGTGCCTGTCGTGGTGTCGCTGTCGAGCTGCAATCAATGCCTCCTGTTGGGCGGGTGTCCGCCTTCCAAGTGACTGCATGCGGGACCAAAGCTTGCATTCTGGGGCAATCAGCAGCTCGTCTGGCATTTCTTCATCGAGCAGTTCCAGGAAGGAGGTCTGGTGCTTGAGCTGGTCGAAGTCCCAACCGGTGTCATAGGAGAAGGTGCGGGCTTCCATGCCAAGCGACTGTGCCACTTCTGAAGTTCTTGCCTTACCGCAGTAAACCTCCCATAGGACTCGTGGGCGTTCTGGTCGATGAAGCTCACAGGTGATGTACGCCGACAGTTCATTGAGCTGTGTTGTGAGAGTCACGTCCATGGTCTTCAGCTCGTGCTTCTTGAGGTGTTTGGTGTCGTGGCTGTTCAGCTTCATGTTCATCGGCTCCGAGCTGTTGAAGACCTGTTCCTCAAGCATGAAGTCCTTGAGGAGATAGCCATCCTTCTGGTGGACGTCGGGATCATTTGTCCTCAGCTCGAACTCTGGCTTGTCGGGGTCATACTGCATGATGTCGTGCTCCTGGGTCAGTGACCAGAGATATTCTCCTTGTCGGCCGAGAACGGCAGGTTGCCAGGGAGATGAGCCGATCTTCAAGCGCCGATTGGCGAAATCCATGGACATGCCCAAGGCCTCAATGATGGGCCTTCCGCGCAACATTGGAGTGTTGCCCGGCAAGAGGAAGATCTCGATCGTGCCGTAGCGCCCGTCCACGAACACTGGAATGTGGGCACTCCATTCTGACCATAGTGAGGCGTCTCCTCCAAACTGGAATTTGCGCCTGCCCTTCGTCATCTTGATGACATTGACCGGGAAGTTGATGTCCTTGTAATGCTCGACCAATCTCCTGAAGGGGCCATAGCCGGAGAGGAAAGCACTTGCGCCGGGATCCAGCATCGTGCAGTCGGGTCTCTCCTGACCACTGCTGTCTTGGAAGATGAGTAGAGCCGTCTCCTGAGGCGAGGTGAGAGATGCCATGCCTTCAGTTGCTGACGCTGGTCGCTTGAGGCTTGACCTTGATGGCGAGGTCGATCCTTGTGGGCAATTTGCAGCCCAGTGGCCAGGCTGGCCGCAGCGCAAGCAGTTGAGGTTGGCCTTCACTCGTCCTTTTGGGTCAAACTTCCCTCCTCCTTGTGGTGGATATCGAATCGTGGTTTTTGACTTGCCCGACTTGGAACCACCGCCTTTCCCTTTTCCTTTGCTCCGCCAACCTGTGGGACTTGTAGTCGGAGAGGTGGATGAAGTCGGACCTTGTTGCTGACCGTCAGTGAGTGCCACGATAGGAAGGTAACCTCTGGACATCTTGAGCTCCTGGAAGCGCTTTCTGGCGTTTGTGTAGGAGGCGAAAGCTTGATCATATTGATCTGCCAAAGCCTGAGGGTCACCGACTTCGCCATTGGGGTCATCTTCAACCCATGGTTCTTCGCCAAAGTAGCCAGCGTCTTGGTCGAAGTCATACGGTTCCTCGTAGTCATACTGGGTGTTGTCTTCGGGCCAGGGTTCATCACCTTCATAGTACCCGTAGTCCCAGCTGTCATCACCATCATCTTCTGGGGCATAGTCATCGGCGGTGTACGCCTTCTGTGAACGCCAGGAGGATTGAAATCGCCGGTTGCGATCAGAGTTCCAGCCACCTCCTTTGTAATCCTGCCCCAGGACCAAGTAGAGCGCTTCGATCACGTCATTCTTCTCCAGGCCAGGTGCTTTCAGCGTGATCATCTGTCGCTGCTCTCTGGTCAAGGCAGCTCTGCGCAGTAGATGCCATCCTTGGACTGAGGGAGGAAGCTCAACTTTATGTTGCGCCAACTTCCGGTATGCTTCTTCATGGTCGTTGACGTACATGAGGAGCGTCTGACCTGGTGGCCTTTGCAACAAGTTGAAGTATCCCTCAAAGTCCGTGGGAAGTTGAACTCTGGCGTCATAGGCAAAGTTCCGATCGAGGACCTCTATGATCTTCGGAAAGGCCTCTGCCTTCTCGAGATCCTCCAATGCCCAATCCTGGAAGAGTCTCCAGGTGAGGCCTGTGAAGCTGCCCACGATGTTCAGGACGCTTTCATTCCCACGTTTGGTGATGGACATCTTGCAGTGATACAAGTGTATCCGCTGCCGCCATTCCTTGTAGTCACTCGGCTGACCACTGAAGATGGGAACATAGGAGTCCCTGAGGTCAAGGTAGCCCGTTGCCGAGCCGCTTCCCGCCGAGCCGGATGCCTGCGTCTGCGGTGTTTTCTTTTGGGCCATGGTGCCAAAGAGCTCCTCAAAGGTCTGCTGGTTCGCTTGGGTGATGTGGTAGCGGATGAGAAAAACAGCCAGACAAAGACCTAGGCAGGAAAATAGAGCTCTTGGAACCGTTCGTGACGTAGGGCTTCTTCCAAGCCTTCGGGAAGCCGTCGCGAAGTGCGCAGGGTAGGGAGCCCGGCCTGAACCGGGCTCCGCTACCAATGTAGAAACTGGAAACGCACGAAGTCTTCCAGCAAGTAGGTGAACCGACGATCGAACGTCGAAGCACAAGGGCGACCGACTGGGGCCGCGCGTCCGCGCCTTTTCAGCGTGCTGAGCCCGCCCTCTGCGGACGGATCATGTGGTTTCATGAAACAAAGTGATGTACAGCGTACATCTTCACAATATATATAATATATGTGTTTAGTTTATTGCTAATGTGTGTCTTCTTCCTTTTGTTGCTTAAAAGCTACTACAAGCTTTTTGACTCTGGCCCATGTGCTGGCACCAAGTGCCAGGCGCTCGAGGCCCTGTCGCCCGAAGTGAAGCTTTTCGCCATATTGAAAACCATGGCAAACTTTGGACAACGACTTTCTTGGCCTCAGCTGCAGTTGGCCTTGTCCCAAGCTGTGCAATTGGACGTCATCAGCCAGGAGTCAGCTGAAACACGTACATAAAACAGTTGATGTTTCCTTCTTTCTGCACACCTCTTCCTGTAATTTCCCTGACAAGGTGCAGCTGGGCAAGTGCAACGACAAGTTGGAAGAATGGGTCCTGAAGGGAATGGACGCTGAAGGATTCTGGTGCACACGTGAAACTTTGACAAAAGTGAGGGAGGATTTGCATACGTCCCCAAGTCAAATCATGGGAATTTTCGCTGAGATTGGAGCCTTTGCTGTGACCTCGATTTGGGCAGATTTCATGGACACTGAGAAGTGAAAGCTTCCGAAGGTGAAGTCCAACGTGCTTGAGGTGAATGGCGAATCCAAGCTGTTTGAGTTCGAAAATTCCAAGCCACGTTCTTCCCGAACGCCTTTCTTCGCTTTTGCGACAGAAATGCCGACGCGTCGGAGTTCGCTCGATCAGAAACCACTCGATCAGGACCGTGCTTCGCCCCAAGATCCGTGCTTCGCCTGACGTCCGATTTCACCGAATCGCACCAGAATTGAGGCTGACAATGAAGCAGCAAACAAAAAGGAGAAAAAAAAAGAGAATCAATTTGCTCTCAAACGCAATCAATCTCAATTATCTCATAATTGGCTTTCATTCATGAATATGTCTCAAATTATTTCACATTTCTCAATTCAATCAAGATGTCCATCATAAAAAGTCTGGAACGCTTCAAAACTCAAGGTCTGGATCATCAGGGCCTCGGCCGGGTGTCCTGGCACGACTTCGAATACTTGCAAAAGCTATGTGATGCTTCCAGCTGTGCGAAGGCCAGAGAAACGATAACACATCATTGAGAAAAGATAATATTTGTTGCAAGTTGTTGCGCGTTTCTTCTTTTGAGGAAAGCATATGAAAGGAAAGTAAGGAGTTCACAACTGGTTCTCCCTACCAATCTAGAAACCATATCATTAGTGCGAGCGCTTCTTCAAGGAAGCTCCCCCCTCCGCCTTTAGGGCGGCGGAGCTTCCTGGAAGAAGCGTGAGCTATCCTACTAGTAGCTGCTTGTTAGCTACTAGCTACCTCTTCTGCTACCTAGCTACCTCCTTCCTCTACGGCCTACCCTTCCGCTTGATTTCATCACCGTGGTCAGGGCTTCACATTGGAAGTGCGTTTGTTGCGCAGCTGGGCTGTGGAGGTGCGAAATGGAGAAAAAAAAGACGTTCTCGGCTCCTACTCTTTCGAACGAGTCTTGTTTTGCGACATGTAGTAACAAGTGCATCGCTAGTAGTAACAAGTGCCTTACTAGTAGTAACAAGAAGCTAGTAGAAACAATAAGTACCAAGAAGCTTCTTGTTCCTAGTAGTATGGCCAGGAGCCCCTAGTAGCGTCCTTGCTCCTAGTAGCAATGCCAGGAGCCCCTAGTAGCTTCTTGTTACTAGTTGAGTCTGTTCTGTTTTCATGTTCTTTTTTTTGCACACAGTCTTTTTCTTGAAAAAAGACAGGTGTGCGCTGACCTGATGGAGCTCTTGAGAAGGCATGCGCATATAGTGAAAGAATCAGCAGTGCGACTGCTCGAGAAAACGTCAAGAAAAGTCAGAAAACCTAAACAACATGTTTAGGTTTTTGCCGTCTCCAACCTACTAGCGATGGCCTCCAACCAAGAACACCTATGTTTAGGTTTTTGCATGTGTTTGCCATCAGAAGCGCAATCAATTGTGGGACATTTCTTCAAGGAAGCTACCCCCCGTGTAGCTAGGTGTAACTAGCAGCCTGCCTTCTCCGCCACAGCCTGCCCCCTGCATCTAGGTTGGAGGCAATCGCTATTCTGAATTTCACTTCTTCGAACTTCTTCTTCTTCTAGTAACAAGTGCCTTACTAGTAGTAACAAGTGCCTTACTAGTAGTAACAAGTGCCTTACTAGTAGTAACAAGTGCCTTACTAGTAGTAACAAGTGCCTTACTAGTAGTAACAAGTGCCTTACTAGTAGTAACAAGAAGCTTTAATTTAGTTCTAATTTAATTCTAATTAGTAAGGCACTTGTTACTAGAAGCGATGCACTGGTTACTAGGAGAAGAAGTTCGAAGAAGTGAATAAATTTATTCTTTGTGGTTCAACATCCAAGACCAGCACGCATTTTGTTTCCTGGTGGAGTCTATTTTGCGCAGCTCCAAACCTGGTTCATTTTATGGTTCCAAAAGAATGAGTTCACATGAAAAGATCTGGATCACCCTTGTTCTTTATCGAACGAAGGGGGGCCAGGTGCAGCACTGCATTCGGTGTAATTACCACGGAACTCAACGTGGCCCGGGGTGTCCAGCTCCAGTGACTACAAGTGGACATGATTCATTATGGGGCATGTTGCAATATGATGTCGCATGGAGCAACAAGCAATATATGGGAAAGGGACACAAACATACATGGGTGGTCATCAGTGAAAACATATCCACGAAGCCTTTTGTTTCCTCGAGGGCCAAAAGCTTTTCTGTTAGTGCAGCCGCAATCGAAAAACAGAAAGAGTGCGAACAAATCTTCTGCGATTCTTTTCCAGTTCCTTTGTTTCCAGATTCCCTCGTTCTAGCTTTGTTCTGCCAAGTCTCTCCTCCCAATTCCTTTTGACGGACTTGATTCAAGAATCTAAGAGAGTCTAAAGCATTTCCATGACCTTGCTAGAGAGTGTCACCGGCACAGGCGCCTTGGGCTCAGTTCGAGGAAAACGTTTAGACCGTTGAACTTTTGTCGCGGTGCGTTCATGTCGTGTTGATACGCTTTGTCAAACTCAGTTGACGCTGCTGTTTCCTTACAGTGGCAGCGGAGCCGGGCTAGATCCCGGCTCCACCACTGGCTGCCTCTATGGACCCACTTCAAGTGTCGGACCCGTGGGGTCGCTATGCTGGAATGGGGTGCCAAAGTACAGGAGGGCCCTACTCGTCCTTTCAAGGTGCGACGACAAGGCCAATGTCTTTCGAGCCGCCTGGAAGCACTGGACAGGGCCCTCAGAGCTCACCCAGTGGTGGACCACAGCCGAGCTTTCAAGGGGACGCTTCACAAAGAGGTCACTTTGGCTTACAAGGCACGGCTGTTGGGAAAGGCTACCATAGCACACCTTTTTCGAGCCCAATACCAGTTTTCACACCTGGCGCATGTTTTCATGGTCAGACGCCACCTAGTGCCCCGAATCCTCAAGGATCGAAGGGACAGACTGGAGGTTTTCCCAACTTGGGAAGTAATGTTCCTCTGGCAACCGGAAATGGCTCTGGCAATGTTTTTCCAGGTGTTCCACAGCAGCAGTCGAGTTCAACACAAGGGACATTGAGTGCAGCAATGTTGGAACAGTTGAACATGGCTATGGCACCTCCTTCAACTCCCCAAGTTCAGAGCGCTTTTGACATTCTGGGCAAGACTCCGGCTGTCCAAAGTCAAACTCCTGGCGATAGCAACGCTGTGATCATGAAGGCTTTGACAGCTGCATTGACTGGAGACCGCAAAGCATTGCCCTCTTGGTCGGGTGCCCCGGAAACATTGCGCAGTTGGTTGAGACAGTTGTCGCTTTGGGAACTGGACAACAACACACCGAAAGAGCGTTGGGGGTTGAAACTCATGCAAAGCTTTCCGGAACAATCCATTCCTCGGAGACTCTGCGAAACCATAGAAATTGGCATTTTGTCAAGTCCTCAGGGGTACAGTGCAGTGTTGTCAGCAATCCTCCAGAAGTATGGGCCCTACATTGAAGCAGCAGCTCCTGCAGCCATCGAGAACTTCTTCTATGCTGGAGAGCGTCAGAGAGGAGGCACTTTCTCCTCCTACATTGCTGCAAAAGAAGTTGCCCTGCAAGAGTTGGAGAGCAATTTAGGTGAGAAGCTGCCGTCGAAAGTTGCTGGACGGGTTCTGTTGAGACATGCTGCATTGACAGACGTGCAACGAGAAAGTACGGCGATCAAGTACCAGGCCATGTTGACTTTCGAGCAGGCGGCCTCGGCCCTGAGACCCCTAGATCGTCCTGAAGCACTCATCAGCAAAGTGGCAAAGAACTTTGTCACGGGATCTTCAGGCCGATATGCAGAGCAGTCCGAGTGGCATGAAGATGAAGAGAATGAGGAAGAAGATGAAGAGCTTTTGCCTGATGACCCATGGGCAGAAGCTCAGGAGACCGATGAGGCAGGTGCAATGAACTTCCTGCTGTTCGATCCTGAGCAAGAATACACTGAAGAGGAGGCTACCTACATTTGGGCCTATAGCAGTGCGTACAAGGACATCAGGAAAGAGCTGCAGTCGAGGAGAAAAGGCAGAAGTTTCTTCAAGCCAAAAGGCAAAGGTCACGGTGGGGTGGTCAGGAAAGGAAAGAACAAGGGAAAACGACCTTCTAAAGGTCGTGGAGGTCCCGGCATTGGCCGAGGATCAGCCCACCGTGGAACACCAGAAGATCTTTTGGCAAAGACTCGCTGCTTCTCTTGCGGAGAGTTGGGATACATTTCAAAAGACTGTCCCAATGAAAGGAGCAACACCTTCTTCGTGTGCAGAGGCACCGCAAGTGATCAAGCGAGAACTTACATGCAATGCAGCATTGGTCGATCAGATGGCTTGAGCAACATTGGTCGGTCGGTTGGCTTGAGCATTGAGCAACAGTTGGTTGGCTTGCGCAACCTTGGTCGATCAGCTGGCTTGAGCAACATTGGTCGATCGGGTGACTTGCGCGTTGATCCACAGTCGGTTGGCTTGAGCAACATTGAACAACAGTCGGTTGGGTCGCATGACATTGAGCAGTTGTCGATGGCACATTGTGACATTGGTCAACTACAGGGTGCATTGAAGATGCCTGAAGCAAGGGCCTTGCAGGTCTATGCTGGCGTTGTCACTGAAGCTGGAGAAGCAGTTGTGGACACCGCAGCGGAAGAAGGTGTCATCGGTTCCAATGCAATGAACAAGTTGAGAGCTGCGTTGTTACGCTTTGGCTTGCAACCAGTTCCAGCTGCTGGAACTACTGTTTGTGCTGGCATTGGAGGCAACGCCAAAGTCGCTGGTGTTTTCGATGTTCCACTGGGCATTTGCAAGCGCAATGTGCTGTTGAGGATCACAGAGATCCAAGATGAGGCTCAGTTCACAACCCCTTTGTTGCTTCCAATCTCATTCATTGAGTTGGTTGGTGGCATAGTTGATACCAAAAGAAACCTTTTTCTCATGGCCAATGGCCGCAAGACTCCCATGAGGCGCACGCCTTCGGGACACCGGACGATCTCAGTGTTGGAGTTCAAGGGGCGATGGACTCTACCGCCCACGCTGTGCTCAGACCTTGGCATTCAGGACTCCTCTCCTTTGCACTTGGAGCGCCAGTCCGGTGACAAAAAGAACCCAACGCAACAGCCCGGGGTGGCAGTTTGGTTGAAGCTGCAGGGATCTTCGGCCATGGTGTTCATGGGAGCCCTTCCTCCTCGCAAGACTATGGTTCACCCCTCCGAGGTTTTCAATGACGACCAGGTGAACCTCCTCTCTCGTTTTAGGTCCACACAAGCGGTCTTCGAGGACTCGGGCAAGTTCAATCGGTATGAAGCATGGACTATTCCCCAACAACGCCAACTCCCTTTTTGGTCAGGCAGTGTAT